TATGTTCGACCTTGTTTGAACTAACACCTAATGGCCCTTGGCCATAGTCAAACATAAGTTATGTTCGACCTTGTTCGAACTAACACCTAATAGCCCTCGGCCATAGTCAAACATAGGTTATGTTCGACCTTGTTCGAACTAACACCTAATGGCCCTCGACCATAGTCAAACATAGGTTATGTTCGACCTCATTTGAACTAACACATAATGTCCCTCGGCCATAGTCAAATATAGGCCATGTTCGACCTTGTTCGAACTAACACCTAATGGCCCTCTGTCTTAGTCAAATATAGGTCATGTCCGACCTTGTTCGAACTAACACCTAATGGCCCTCTGTCTTAGTCAAATATAGGTCATGTCCGACCTTGTTCGAACTAACACCTAATGACCATCGACCATAGTCAAACATATGTTATTTTCGACCTCGTCCGAACTAACACCTACTGGCCCTCGGCCATAATTAAACATATGATATGTTTGACCTTATTCGAACTAAATTATTACGGCTAAGAAAATCAAGGCAAACAAGCAACAACGTAAAAAAAACATACAAGTACGAACCGCAGGAAGAGAATAAGGTACAAATAACAAAGGTGACATTTCATACTTAGAATATTTTTACAAAGGCTCGTTAAGACGCCTACAAAATACGCACAAGTTCACAGCAAAAATAAGAAGGAAGAAGAAAAACTACTGGTCGCCGCCTGGCCCATCAGTGCCATCGGCCTGACCATCTGGGCCACCTCCATCTGCGCCCTCACCATCACCACCGCCCTCAGGGTACGCGTTTTCATACCAGGCGTCCTCTTCAATCTGGTCCACACCCATATCCCTCTCATCGTCATCGGCCTCCGGCGTAGCAGGATCATACCCGCAAGCCATTCGAGCTTCACAGGCCTTAACATGAGTATCTTCAAGGGAGGCCCCAGGAATAGATCCTGCCGCATGCAAATCTCGGAACACATCCAACTGAACCTCAGCGTGAATCCATTCCTCGTACAGGCCCTGGGGAACGTTTGGGAAATATGAAGTATGAGAAGACGATGGTTGCACAAGCATTTGAGCCTTCTCATCTTCTAAGGCGGCCACCTGGTCCTGAAGAAAGGAGTTGTCTTTATCCAACTCCCTAATCCTCTCATCGAGCCACTCCTATTTAAGTCTCTCCATCTCCAAATCAATCTCTCGCTCAGAACAGAGAGTCCGGATCACTACCTCGAGGGCCTTCGCTTTCCTAGAAGCCACCGAACAAGCAGACTCCGCCTTCTCCAACTCGTTTTTCTTCTCAGTAATCTCGCCATGAAGAACCTCCATCTGCAGGTGACACGCATCCAACTGTCTGTGCAGCTCGATCACCTGCGCCTGGAGATCGCCATATTGAGCCTTCACGGCCCTGCTAACTTCATGCTTTTCCTCTTTATTTCTTAGCATCCCCTCAAGGACGCTGCACTTTTCGATGATCCTCACTAGCTCATCATCTTTCTCCTTCAATTCATCTAGAAGAGCCTGTAGATTATCGCTCTCACCAAACTGCCTACAAATTTCCCGGTGCTTACCACAGTCCTCGCGGTATTTGTGTCGCAACTTCATAAAAATAGCCTTACGCCTTGCCTCTCTTCGGGGGCTTTTAATTTCCAAGATCATGGTCTGGAAAAGAAAGAAAGAGAAAACAGACAAAGTAAGAACGAGGCCTAAACGTTGAACATAACAAACAGAAAAATAAAGCGTCAAAAAACTTACCCTGAGAGCGAGGCCGACTATGCTCTTCGATAAGGTAGCATCATTCAACTCTTGGAAAGTTTGACCCTCTACATTGGAGCTAAGGGGACCGAGGGCAGGAACCACGTTCTCTGTATCTTTTAATAAATTCCGATCCACAGGGATCACAATAGTCCGCGTGGACCCCTCCAGTTTTACCTCCAGGTGGGTAAATCCCTCCTCCATCATCCTCATCTCGTCAGCATCGAGATCAGAACCCATCTCGTAGCCATCCTCGAAAATGCCTTTGCATCTCCCATCGATCGGCAGAGAAGCATCGTTAGCCGGCTATGAAGTCCACGGCCCTTCTTGCTGCAAAGTATCAGAAGCCTCAACGGCCGGCCCTTCGGCTCCTACCGCCGCAAAAGGAAGAGGTACGCCTTAAACGACCTCCGCTGGATATCGGAATATCAGACGCCAGCTCGACGTCATCCTCAAGTATTATGGCTGCCGTCTCACGANATTATGGTTGCTGTCTCACAGATGACAAAATCATCCATTACTGAATCTACGGCCCGGGAAAACCCATTACCAACGTCCACCGATCTTCTCTTATAGGGAACCAAATTCCCACCGCTCGGCGACGACTCCTCCTCCCCTTCCACAAGACGGTGCAGGGGAAAGCCAGAAGCTCCGTTGTCGAAATATCTACAGGCAGAGAAGAAACCGATGTTAAGGCAGCAGTAGATAGGGCCGACGACCTAGCAGACCTGGCCTCGGTTGAGGAAGGAACAGAAGTAGACGATCGAGCAAGTCGAGCCGCAGTTATAATGGGAATAAATGCCGAAGAGGAGGCGGCCTTCCTCTTACGAAATGTAGGACGAGGAGCCCTCGGCTTCCTCAAAGATCCTCGGGCTGGATCTATAATAAGTAGGCGACCATGAGACCAAAAGAGCAAAAATATATATAGATAAACTCACCGGCCAAGGAAGGAGCAGGACCAAACTTCTTTAAAAAGCCCGTACACTCACGAATTCCCACGATGTGAGGCAGAACCCGGCCAACCCAGTCAGAAATGTTCTCAACCAAATGAGGGGGCGTAGTCTTGGCTGCACGAAGAGGGGACAAAAGTTCAGAGCCTTCGACTAAAATAGATAGCTCAAATGTTTTAACAAAAGAGGAATAGACGTTTACGAGTGTAATTCCAAGTCTCGGGGTAGCCGTCCGTGTTGGCCACCACGTCTTCGGTTCTATCAAAGAAAAAATTATGCCAGAGCTGGCGATTTTCTTTGTCATCCATCTTCACCACCAGGCATTTGCCTCCTCGATGGCAAAGGTTGAACATTGTCCCCCTATAGAAACTCAGGGCGAAATGATGCATCAGATACCGGAGTGTAATCTCGACCCCGACCAACTCAACAAATTTAGTAAGCATCCTGATGAGCTTGTAGATATATGGAGAGATTTGAGTTGGGCACATGCCATAGTAGCGACAAAATTCCTCCGCCAATGGGAGAAAGGGAAGAGCATAGCCGACCTGGAAGGGATACGCATAGAATGCGCAATACCCGAGGCGGTGGATTTGTACCACATCATGCCCTACTAGGACCAAATCGATGCGGGCATGTGTGTTGAATTTTGCCCTAATCTCTGCTAGATTGGCCTCTTTCATCGCCGACTCAGAGACCTAGGGCTTGTCCTCAGGCTCCTTCGAGAAGTCAGACCTAACTTTCTCGCCACGAGGAATTATTTCCTCCACTGTAGGAAAGTTCTCATCTTCAATGGCGATAGAGACGCCATCAGCGTGAGGAGGCATAAGCACTGCCAAAGGAACATGGTCAATTCCCACGCCGTAACCAGAGGTTATATTAGTCATAACTTTGATGAGAGAAAGGATATTCATGCAAAGAAGGATTAGAAGCAACATGAATCATTAAGGCCATCAAAAAAGATGCACGACAATGGAAGAAGGAGAAGAAGGCACAAGGTTTTGATGAGAAAAATATGTAAACAACAAATGAATGTCATCACATCTCTATTTATAAAAATTTGGGCATCAAAACCAAGAGATTATGCCATCATTACTTGGCACTGGAATCGAAACGGCAGCCCCAACTGACAGTCGCACGGAAAACGACGTAAAGCATCGGAAAAATGCGCCATATTACGCATGATGTCATGACGTCATTCTAATCCAGAAATGACGTAACCCCGAAAGTTGCAGCTCACGAAAGTCCACGTTATGAGTTCGTCCTAAACTTAACTGCCCAATCCACTCTCCCACTTTTCTCGACCAAAACCAACAAAATTCACTCATCGAGGTCGTATGAGGACAACCTCAATAAGCGGAGGGACTAACTGTATAAGGCAAAATCTATTGCCGAGCATTTAGAGCGAGATAGTATCGAAGGGAAGAGTCAATCGATGTCGATCGGGAAACAACGAAGCTCATGGTCGGGATGTCAACAATGACCGAGGTCGAGCTTTGTGAAAAGGGCTGTAACGGCTAGTTGTTAGAATAGTATAATAGAGAGAATATTCAAAAGAATATTTTGGGCACATGTACTATTAGGGTTTTTAGGGCTATGTCCCATATAAATAGGAAAAAAGATAAAGAAATAGGGCATGTGATATTCACTGGAGAAGCACATACTTCTGATAAAGATTCTCTCTCTTGTAAAAGATACAAAGATTACTTTTTCATCAAGATTCTTGTTCATATTATTTCACACTTTTTCATCAGATCCGAGAATAGTTCAAACATTCTAGGATTTGTCTGTCACTCATCATTATCAGGAAGAATAATCATCTAGTTCATTCATTATTGGGTGAACCACTTCTCCTATTTACTTAAATGCTATTTATTGTTATTCATTACTAATTACTCCTCTATTATTGCTCATACCTTTTGAAATATTTAATGTATGTTATTGTGAGTCTCCCACTAGATTTGTTCCACATTATCCACATGTTCAGAATTAGCATTTAGAGACATAATTAATTAATCATTAACTATGTTTAACCCATTATTACTTAAATATAATAGTTTTAACCAAAAGTTATATTTTTTTGTCAAACAAAATGCACTTGATCTTTTGTGACTAAAACCATGATCGACTAAATATACATTCCCATTTTATTTCATTTTAGTATGAAATATTGGTATAGATAAATGGAGTATTTCTTTAATTAACGATAGCTGATCCAGGTTTTGGCCTGGTCAAACTCATGTAAACTTTGTCGAACTGGGTGCTGGCCTCATGTCTCACCGGTAGCCTAACAGCAGACAATTAATTCCAATTAGTGTGTGGTCTCATACAGAGGTCACACACTAAGTACACTGACTCACTACTTTTTATCGGCCAATAACTCTACTCACACCTGCCCTCATCTTCACACACAATACAGAACACTCCACTCAATTTCTCTCTGAAAATACATGCACATAAAACACCTGCACTTTTTCGGCAGATCTAATGAGGGTAATTGCTCTAGCATTGGGTGGATCAGCGAATGAATTGTTATCAGTGGTTATCCATTTTGGGTTTTGTAAACAATTGGTTTACCTTGCTCCATCCATCTCAGATGGGCATAACAATGTTGTTGGATGGTGAGTTACTGGGAAAAAAAAATGATATTGGTGATATCCTTATATAGATAAGACGCTTTATGCATGCTGTCCGCTAAGAATTATTTGATTCCAAGAAAATAGACGGACAACACAGAAAGCTAAACCTTGAAAGCATTTTGCTTTTGTTTTTAACTCCAAAGCATTTTATTTTTCCTTTCTTGACATGGCTGTTGAAACCTTGCTTAAAATTGTTCCACCGGTTATGTGAAAATTAATTTTATTTTTTGGTATGCGACAGATATAAGTCCTCTTTTGGACAAGTCGGATCATCCAAATATGGCTCAAGATGAACGTGCTGCTCAAGTTGTTAGGGAATTAGATCTGGCTTGTAGAGAAGCTGGATTCTTTTACGTGGTAACTATTCTTCTCCTGCTAATTTTTCTTTCTATTGATGTTATTGGTGGTCCTAATTGCAGCCTAGTTTTTATATCTATTGAATTTACAATATTGGGGAAAATAGTGTGCTGTCACTGTGAAAGAAGCTAAGCTTCTCCTGAGCTTTAAGTAATTTTTGGATCTTTCGTAATTTTAACTGTTAACTCTCTGTATTAGAGAAACTAATATTGTTGTGGCACTAGTGTCCATTTGACCTCTTTCTGTTCTCTGTTTCTCATTTTTCCAGACAGGCCATGGTATTCCTCAGATTAGAAGCATTAAACATGAATATTTTCATCAACCTTATGAGGATAAACTCAAGATCAAACTTTCTGCCGAAACTGGATACAGGTTTATTCCGGTCATTAACCAATATCTTAAATTCAACATATTATCTTAACTAATGATTGCTTATATATCTTGAATGCAGAGGATATCAAAGAATTGGAGAGAATATAACCAAAGGCACACCTGATATGCATGAAGCAATTGATGTAGGCTATACTAATTACTTATGGTTTATATATTGCAGAAAATAAGTGTACCACTTGTTGTATATTGGTTTTTACAAAGCTTTCTTGGGTTTTTTTCACCATTTCACCTGTAAGCCCGTGCTTATACTATAATCGTTTCTTATTCTGGCCCAGTTGCGTACTATCTCTACTGATACTATTTCTTTGAGCTTCTCTTTTACTCTACCATTTAAAGTTTTGGATTGGACAATTAGAATTTTTTGCACGTTATGCATTATGTAGCTGTTCGCCATTATTAGCTAACTACTTGGAGGTTTTAAAGTGTGTGCTCCAGTTTTGATGTTTTGTAAAACTGGAACTGATTGAATTATAGGATATTCTAGACATATAAATATGCAGTCTTTGGATCTAAGAAAGGCAACATCAAACTTGTATGGAGCAAACGATATGCACTGGCAAACTGTTAATGCAAGAAAGAATATGCCTGTCGTATTTATCTCATTAAAGTAGCCATTAGTTAAAACAAAAGGACAACTATTTTCTGCTGAAAGCCTCATCTTGATCATATCTTCTGTGTAGAGTTTGTGCGTGCATATTAGAAAAAGAGAGTTTTTAAACAATGTATAGATTGTAACGTTATTCCTATTTACCCTCTACCACTTGGGATTGGGGCTCGTTCCCTTTTACGTGAGGTCTTGTTTCAATTATTTGGGTTTCTGGATCAACTATGAACTTTATAGTTAATTCATTCACATATTAAGCTCTTCTAAAAAATGAGAAAATTTTATTTTTTCTGTTAAAGAACATTCTTCAACTATAGACAACATATCTGCTCGTTGCAATGGCATAGATGTGAACTCCTCTCAATATCAGTTTCTGTGTGCACATATGTCTTGATACAACTTTTGTATGAATGCTTTGTTTAATAATTATTATGTAATTATACACTTTCTGTTACTTTGTCATCTTTGATGTTCTTCTCTTTCTATCTTGTTTGTTGGTTACAGTGCTATAGAGAAGTTAAACATAGGATGTATGGAGATCTTGGAGAAGTTATGCAAGGATCCAACATACGGTAGGTTAACAAGTTACTTATAATGCATGGTCTTTGCACTAACCCCCTCCTTTGTTTCCCTTTGTACATCTTAAAACCCTTGTCATTTCTTACCCTTTGTTTATGATACTGACTGTTAAATGACGAGTTTCGATTTTGTTGTTTCTTCATTTTGTTTTGGTCTACATGTGGTTTTCATATGCAGGTCAAGTAGCCCTCCAAATTTCAAGCAGTTAGTGGAGGAGTATGTTGACCATTGCACAGTTGCCTTGCTCTATTGCATACTCTTTTGACATTTTCGCAGTGCCTATACTGATAAAGATTTTCTACATGGAAGTGACAAGAAATTGGTGAACTTTTGTATTATACTGCTGACAGATATATCACGAAAGATAATGAGGGAAATTGCTATGGCATTGGGTGGATCAGCGGATGAAATGGAGGGTGAAATAGTTGGTGATCCGTTTTGCGTCTTGCGAATAAATGGCTACCCTGCTGCGTCTATTTCAAATGGACATGAGGGAAAAAAGAAGGAAGGAAGGTTGCATTCTCTCGAAAGAGATTATTAATTTGACCAGTCAAGTTTCTGGGAAAAATGCTATTTGAATTTTACGATTGTCTTTCTATCAATCATAACAAAATCACCTCCATCTGTAACTTTTTTTTATAAAGATGTATCCACTGTTGTCTAGACTACGATCCGATTTCAGTAGAATCTGTAACTCTAAAGACCAATATAGAGTATCCAATTATTGGATATTTTCATCTGCATAGCAAGATAGTGAAGGATCCAGGGCGGAAAGTTCTTTTTTCTTGTAAAGATATTTAACTACATCAGAGCTATAGCGCCACTACAACGTTAGAATAATATGGGAAGCATCTAGAACTTCACAGCTGTGAGCTGTGTCATGGAAAAGCAATGAGAATGTAGTGAAATATAGACATGTTAGAACAACAAAAAGGAAAAGAAAAAAATATAGTAATTTCCTTGTGTAATAACTAAGCAAGCCTTAGTCTAAGCTTAACCATAACACCGTTTTTTTTTTTGCAAAATGGCATGCCAAGTTAAAACTTGAAAGAGAGGGCACAATTCCTCCTTCCAAGTTTTACAACTTGAAGCAGGCATTAGCGCAATACATGGAAAGTAGAAAAACCGTAGGAATTTCAATAAGACAACAATATACTTGAAAAAGATTCCATTCGTATCTTTTGCTAACACTCATCATTTTTGGAGCATCTCACGTACAATCACGTCACCTCTGCAAAGTGCAAACCAACTCACGTGCTTGTGCAGTCTCCCTTCGCAGTTGCACAATGTCATTTCATTTTCACACACAGGAGCAAGTAGAGATGATTTTTTGCTGATATTTTCTTCTACCAAAGCATGTTTTCCCCTTGTCAATGATAGACGATTACAGTGAAAAGAATTAATTTGCACTTGATGTTTTATGTTTTGTAGTATTTAATTATAAACGCATGATGTGTGTGCACTTGAACTTTTGTGACTAAACCATGATCGACTAATATATATTTTTATTTTAGTATAAATATCGGTATAGATAAATATTTCTTTTGATGATAGCTGATCCTGGTTTTAATCAAACTCATGTAAACTTTGTTGAACTGGGTGCTGGCCTCATGTCTCACCAGTAGCCTAACAGCACACAATTAATTCCAATTGGTGTGTGGCCTCATACAGAGGTTACACACTAAGTACACTGACTCACTACTTTTTATTGGCCTCACACCTGCACTCATCTTCACACAATACAGAACACTCCACTCAATTTCTCTCTGAAAATACATGCACATAAAACACCTGCACTTTTTCGGCAGATGAATTGCTCTAGCATTGGGTGGATCAGTGAATGAATTGTTATAAGTGGTGATCCATTTGGGTTTTGTAAACAATTGGTTTACCCTGCTCCATCCATCTTAGATATCACTCATTAGAAAAGAGATACATCCAATATCAATTTATCATTTAATAACATTGTTAGCCTTATAATGTCCATCTCAGAAATAGATGCGACAGGGTACAATTGTGAGCATAACCCAAAATGGATCGCCACTTTTAAGAATTATATTCCTTTGTTCGGATTTTGTTACTTTCTTTGATAGTTACCGAGGACGATTGGCTTCCAAGTCCTTAATTAAAGCATGCTTACTCCCCAGATTTACCTTGCAAAGCCTCATCTTACACCTGTGTTTTATACGGCTGAATCTTTGATGAAATAAATTTTGGGCTTTGTTTCACTATTAATCATTTTGAGTTGTTTTAAGGTGAGAAAGAAATCGGTCAAGTGGATATTAGCACTACTAATTCCTGGTACATTTGTGTGCAATATAGGAGATATGTTGAAGGTAATATTTTACTTTGTAACTTTTGCATAATTTTTTCCCCCCTGTTAAAGTTGTTCTTTTCTGCTGGCTATTGATAGATCTTATCAAACGGAAGTTATGAATCAACCTTGCACTGGGTCATCAATAACTCTCCTAAATATCGTGTTTGTGTGGCCTACTTTTACGAGGTTTAAGAGCCGGTTTGGACATAAAAAAAAATTTCACTTCTTTCCTAAAAATTTTCACTTTTTTTTTTAAATCAGTGTTTGGCCATAAAATTTTTAATTTTCACTCGAAGATGTTGAAAAATTGCAAAAAGCTGTTTTTCAAAATTTTCACTCAAATCACTCACAAAATTTCAAAAACAACCAAAAATAATATTCATGTCCAAACACAAACTCTAATTTTCAAATATCATTTTCACTTGAAATTTTTTTTTATTTTTTTTTGGAATTTTACAATTCTTATGTCCACAACGCCCACTAAGTCTTACTTTCTTTTTCTATTGTGACAATTGAAGTAAAAGAATGATGGTATGTGTTGAGGTTAGTTTATGATAATCAATTGTATGTGTTTTATTATCTGTATAGCTCAACTTTGATGCTGCAATAGAGTCGCTGGATGTGTGTTTACAAAAGACCGATGACACCAAAAATTTTGAAGGAACCGTTTATGTAAAGCATTTGGTCAGCAAATTCATCACCAATTTTCTGATGTAGAATTTGAGCTAAGTCATTACTCTGTATTTCATTCCTCTTTTGTTGGTTTAAATAGTGTTTACCTTTAAAAATAGATAACAATTGAATTTATACGCAATTTTAAGGATATGTAGACTAATTCAATACAAGTGATTAATGGCGTAAGATAAGCAGATAAAAGATAGAGTAAATAGCCAAACCAATGATGATAGTGAGTCCGGGCTCGGTTAAAGGCTTAACAAGAAACCTGCCTTCGGTTCCGAGCCAACACTTATGAAGAACTTATCAACGAAAGCAAGAACTTTGAATAGCAGAGAGAACATATGTATATTGCCTTGGTATGCGTGTTACAGTGTGCCTAATGAATAATCAGCTTCCCTTTTATAAGTAGGGGAGTTTTACCCTAAGTATAATTCTATTCTAAGAAAGGTAAAAATCTTCCTTTTCGCTAATCACTGATCCATCGCCGATACAGACCGAGATTCACGCCGTGATATCCGGTTGGATACGAATATCACGGCCCTCTGTTAATCGTGCGCGACAGTTTGGTAATGCTCTCCGAGGTAGTGGAACTCGAACCGGACCCGGGGGGCATGGTCTAGATGGTTCCGAGGACAGGTATTTTTGTGATGACCCAAAATATCATTTTTAATTTTAATAATTAATTTTGTATTTTAAGACCTTGAAAAGCACTATTTATCATTCCTCGACTTGCGTGTGCAGTCCATAAAATTTTTCGAAAAGTTTT